GCGTAACGTTAATTAAATTATTTATTTGGTTTATTCCGTTATCCATTATTATTGTTGTTATTTTGATTTTTCCAATTAATTCTTCTTTTTACTGGTGGCCCGAGTCTTTTTTTTGTTGATTATTTGTATTTTTGTTTTTGTTAATCATTTTTATTAATTAATCTACTTTTAGTTTAAATTTGTTGATTGATGGTATTATCCTCATCCGAATGCTGGTATTATTCGTCAGTCTTCTCGTTATTAAGCAGCTCCCTTCCTACTACCTTATTCCTCTCCTGTTGTGTTGTCATTATGATCCTTTTGATGCGGTAGTCGGTATGCTTCTTCAAATTACGTATCATCTCGCACATTTCCATGGTTGTTCAGTATGAAGAGGCCTGTTAATTAGGCAATTTATTAAGTTTTTATAATGCCACTCGCCAATTTACATGGCCCTTCGAATCTCCGTGAGTCAAGTCTTTTTATTATTACGCGAAGCTTCCGAGATTCTCGCGAGTAATTAAGTGAAAAGAAGTTAACTGTCATCATGTCGGTTTTAAATTTAATTTCAAGCGAGATCGTGTTTGAGCTTCACAGAATGCAAATGATAGATAAATCCAAATTACTATAATATGACAAAAAATTCTTGAATTATTAATTGAATATTAGATGGTAACGTATGTACCATGTCACAATGATAAAGAACAATATTAAGATAAAATCGAATTAAAGATTTATTATTGCATGTGTGCATGTATAAAATAAATTCTAGACTTGTATTCAAGTATAGCGGACGGATAGGTCTGCTTATACAAGAATAGTCGTACAACATGGTATTTGGATGCTTATTTTTTTTTGTTGCCTTACATTTTTTGTCTATTTCAATTCTGTTTACTTTAATTGGAACCGGGCGGAAGAAAGGTAATTAGCCTATCAATAATATTTATAGTTTTCTAAAATGCTAACTTATTCCTCTTGAACACGATCTGTTTAAGTATCTATTACAACCAGCGTGTGAAATTCGGCATAATGCAAATTTGGTTTGTGCATGTCTCTTATTAAAATCAAATTTTGTGTCATTATTATCTATTTTGCTGATTTTTTATATTGCACTATCTCCCAACTGAATTCCATACACCGATTACAACTATAGTTCTTAGAGCTATCCTCTAAGTACAGTAAAAGTTTTTCAGTGATTAATCTACTTGCAAATTTGATTATTTCAATTAATTCAATAATTTATTTATGTGGTTTATTAAAATGTTTATTCCCAATTAATAAGTGCGAAACAAATTTATTATATATCATATATAAAAATTGTTAAGGATTTAAAATATAGTTTTGCGAACATATTGTGCACAATGAATGTAACATGGCGTTTGATTTATTATATATGAATATTAACATTTTTAATATGGGTTATAATTATTGTTGGAATTATCTTGTCAACGATACTATCATTAATATTAACAATTAAAAAGATTGTTTGGTTCTTTTTTCGTGTAACAACAATTTTTTTATCAAATTTATTTATTTATTTTTATCATTTGATCGCGTAATATTAAGTTATATATAAAAAGATCCCCAATATCTAAATTGGAACGGGTATAACTACATAAGTCGATTGATAGAAGAGAATCTATATTTACTAATATATCCCATCGATAAATGAATATAATCATTACCCAGGCTTCTTTGAAAAGACGAAAATGAGGTCCCAGAATTTACCAATCATTATATAAATAGCTGTGTAAAAACCCTTTCCAACATCATCTTTTGTTAAAAAGAATATTTTCTTGAACATAAACCAAAAACTAAAAATGACTTCAATTGTAAATAAATTTTTCTCGTTAGTGTAATTATTGTAACAATTATTACCACCGATGATTATTAATTTTATGTCTTTTTAAATATCAGGCACCTCAACAAGTCGGATCTTTGGAAAGTTCAAATAACGATGGATATTATATTTCGCACCAAAACTACCTTGGGCTCATCCGTCAAGTAGATCCATCTCTTGTCCCTGATTTCATATTTACGATAGTTCCCGGTTTGAGTGGCTCAGGTATCAGCTTTCAAAGCACAAACTATCCAGGTCAATATTTAAGACATCAAGATTATCGTATCAAGCTTTCCGGAGGCGATGGCTCAGATTTATTCAAGCAAGATGCCTCTTTCGTCGTTGTCCCAGGTATTATTACGTTATTCTTTTGTTGATATTATGTGTTAATCAAATTCAAATATCTCTTGACCAATCAAACATTACGAAAAACATTTAGGTGATAATGGTGGTATTCGCTTCCAGAGTGTCAACTATCCAAATTACTTTATTAGACATCGGGCTAATAATGAATTATGGATTGACCCTAAATCAACCGATGATCGCTATAAAAAAGATAGTACCTTCAAGTATCACGAATTTTTTCAATTGTAAATTCATAAAATTGTAAATTCATAAATTTGTTTTTTTTTATATATATATATACAAGTTCTTTAAAACCTTGCATACTTTGCTTAGCGTAAACACAACAAATTTATGATAATAAAATTTTGATAATCAAAGTCTATTCATTTGATAAATATTACTTTTATTAATATCCAGTCCATAGTATTTCTATTAATTTGGTATCTATTAATACCGACCTATGATTTTCACGTCCCGAAGGGAACATAAAAAAATCTCATTACCCTAGGTATATCTATCATACAACCGATTTATCTCAGCGTGCCGTAATATCAATGGTGATACATATTTTCACTTATCTTGATGTTTTTTCTGACTTCGATTATATATGCAAGGAGGCACTATTAAAGCATATTCACTTACCTTGGCCCTAGTAAAATTTTAACTAGGGACGAATGTGTCTCATCAAAGTATACTAACGCATAATATTTATTATCCAGTATGCGGTTAAAATGGATTTGGACGTGTCCCAGAAAAAATCCCGTTCTGGTTTCGTCCTAGTAAAAAGAGGTTGACCGGAACGGATTGTATTATAGAAGAAAGTAAAATAGGTTTATATTATTTAATGCTGTATTGACTTGTTCTTTTATACTTGTCATATATCCGTCCTAATTGTCCTATTAAAAACTAAAAGTCTAGGGAAAAAATGAAACTCATTCCCATCTATATGCTATATACATTCCCTCCTGGTCAAAAACATAGACACTTGCTGATCATCAAAAATACCCAAAGCCCAAGAGCATTAAACTGAGGCTCAAGTCCAGAATTTTACTTAACACAATAACCACTTCGGTTAAGTTAGACCACTAAAAACCCACCCTATCCTAGTCTAACTTAACAAAAGCATCCATCTTGAATAGTGTGACGTGAAAAAATATAAATAGTATAATATACTGAGGTTTCGCCCCATATAAATAACAACTTAAAAAATAAAAAAGAATTTTTTAAAAATCTTCACCTTTGAATATCGACCACAATAGCAAGTTCTAACAACCTTTGTGGTACAAGTAAAAAAACTCCGTCCTAGAAAGACGCGACCTCAAAAATGTAGTATGAATTCAAACCAGGACGCACAAACCTCAATCACCTTTGGCTTTTGCATCGAACCCGTTTTTCCGGGGCAAGAAAGTCCTCATTAAAACTTATCATCAACGAATCAGCCGTGGATCGAGAGAAAAACTTCCAAGCCCAGTAAACTTGGGTCGATCCAGGATTTTGGATCCGAATAATCATTTCATATACTGAATTATGGATATAACTTTGTTTAAAAGTATACATATCATTAAATCATCCCATACAAAGTAATTCAAGCAACGGTTCCATGTGTCCAAACAACTTCGATTATGGTTGTTCAAAATGGAAAATTCAGATAATGGTCTTTTCTTGATATGGTATCCGAACTAGACTTCGCCAAGTATGAAGTCAACTGAATTGAGCTAACAAGAACATCAGTAAAGTCGCTCTCTTTGATAAATCAGGCAGTTGTTGAAGGTCTGATTCTTTATCATAATATTGATTCTCTACCATATTCCTCAAACACTCCTTCATCAAATACCAAGTTCTTTAATCTCTTCTAGGGTTCAAGGCTCAGTCAGCAAAAGATATATTGTGGATCCCATTCTTTGGCATGTAAAAAATATGGAGATCCGAAGTTCAATGATTATCTCTGGAAATTTTTGAAATGGGATTCTTATTAGTACTATATTTGATGGTCGCAGGATAATATCTTAGAAGCACATGGCTGATTATTATGTGCGCTATAGATTCGTGTATTATGACTTGTGGTTTTGTACGAATAATTAAACGATCGGTGTGAATCCAATCACCATGTATTAGTACTGCATCCTATTGATCTATCAAAAATACGTTTTTTCGTATGTTTTTCATATTATTATTATGTTTCACATAATTTTTTATAGTAATGGTATAGAATAAATAGTTTATATTCATCCTTTATTCCTTTTCATGATAATCATAATGCTACAACTTTCGCCAACTTATATTCAACTCTTGACATGATATTAACTAATTAGTCTCTCGTCCAAATTGCTTGATATAAAGTAAAAGGGATTTCTTTTATGGAAATTGATAATAATTCACTTTAACTTCATTCACACACATTATATAAAGCAACAAATAGATTTTTAGATTAGATGGTTAGACTGGATGTTATTTTTGTTATTTTGTTTTTCTTTTTTTTGAGGAATCTATAGTTAATTAGCCTCTAGCTAAGAACTATCCAAAAGAGAGGAGACCTAGGCAAATTTTTTTAAAACCCCGCGCTACATTGTAAATACTATCATACTAAACCAAATGCTTGTAAATCTCCTGAAGATAATGGAATGAATTTATGTAATGAAATTATGGTCAAATCTTGTTTCTGCCCAAATCTTTTAAGGGTTATTAGGCAAATTAAGGGGTTATTTTAGATGTTTATTTTAATTACCACTTAAATAAATACATCAAGGCAACCAAATTGCCAAACTGCTAAACATAATCCAATCATATATAATTAATGAATTCTAATATTTTAATAATTTCTTTTTTTTTATTGTTATTATGGTCTTTTGGTTGATAACCATTCATTTGCTTTTAAGAATTGTGTAGAAAGATCATCTGAAATAGTTCCATTAGCTTTGAGAGAATTAATTGCCACAATAATCTAAAAAAAAAATTTTTCAATAATAAACAAACAGATGAAACATAAAAACAAACAAAGAAAAAATATATTTTCATTTACTTGATCCCAAAAAGAAAATCCATTCAACAAGTCAGATTTTACATCAACACATGACGTAAATGTTTCTTCAAGTTTTTTAATCGAACTAGCAATCTTAGAACTGGACTCACTTTTATCTTCATTTTCTTTTGATGAACTTATAATATTTTCTAAATATGTTTTTGCAACTATACCCAATCCAGTATTGACATCAAACAAAAATGGTAGACTGTTGTCATTGTTGTAGTTATTGTTATTATCAACAAATATATAAAAAATTTAATTAAAATAATGAACAAACAAATAAATATAAATCTATTTTGGGTAAGAAATCTATAAACCTTAATGCGATATCAAGATAATCATTTCGTTCTTTTAAACAATCTCCATTCAAAAACATTGATAAAGTCAACATTTCACAAAGATTCCGTAAAGATCGATTTAAAGTTTTTAAAAAACTGTTAAATGCCAAAAGTTCCCTATTTAATGGCCCATTCCAAGATTTTCCCTATTTAAGTTGTAAATCATGTTATTATTTACACACACACATATATATAATGTAATATGTATGAAATTTTTAATTTAATTTTTTTAAGTACTTTAAATTTCATGGGAATTATGCTTAGAGTTCTTGAAATTATTAAAACATTCTTTTTTTCCTCTTTTATAACAACAATTACAAAA